ATTTTCAGTAACTTGCTCACTCTACCAATCTAGATCCCCCAGTATTAGATATGAAATTCACCAAAGAATCTGTGGTTTTATTTGTCTTTTAACAATTAATAGTTGAATCTTGACATATCTTAGGTAAAGTGCTAAAAGCCAAGTGTCTCTGAAAATTGACACACCTGACTTAGAAAACTGATCAAAATCCTAGGAAGACTAGACATTTCTGCTTCTGTCCATGGTAGAATAAGAAGAACAGTATATACCTTTTTTCTCTCTTAACCATTAAAAAAAACAGAGGAAAAGATATGAAACAATTTTCAGATACTGAACATACGGGCTGTGATCTCTGAGAGAGGAAAGCAATGAGTGCCCTGGAGGGAGGGAGGGAGGCCAGTGATCTTTTGAGTTGAAGAGGTAGCTCTGCAAGTTAGGGAGACCCAGTTGGCACATGCAAAACAGAGCGTCAGAGAGGAGGGTGCCACAGAGTTAGAGCTCCAGAGATGTGCAGGGGTTCCCCCCGTGTTCTTAGCTGAGTATTAGCACGTGAGACTGGAGACATAACCGTAAAAGAGCAGAGCAATTGCTCAGGCTGGAAATAGATCACTTAACCAATAACCAGAGGGAGAAACCTCTTAATCAGTAAGACATCTGCAAGAATGCTCAGAAGGGTGCTACCTTAGAAGGGGGGCCATCAGACCTTGATTAAAAGATGTTCTCTTAGGCTTAATGAAGCGCAAAATCCTGTCTTGAAAGATAAAACTGTTGCCGAGTATCTTAACCGGACCCACAAATGTTCTGTCACAAAGTCTAATAATGATACTCAACTCATAGTATGGCTGTGATTATGAAATGAATTAAAGAGTATTTGTAAAGCACTCAGAATAGTGCCTGGTACTGGAAGGAAAAATAAAAAATAAAATGTAGACCACTTCACATCCACTAAGACGGCTACTATATAAAAAAAAACACACACAGAAAATAAATGTTGATGAAGACTTGGAGAAATTGGGAACTTTGCATACCGTTGGGGAAATGTAAAGTGGTGCAGCTGCTATGAAAAACATATGACAGTTCCTCAAAAAATCAAAAATAGGATTACCATATGATCCAGCAATTCCACTGCTAGGTATATATCCAGACGAACTGGAAACAGTATTTCAAAGAGATACTTGTACATCCATGTTCACAGCAACATTATTTACAATAACCAAAATGTGGTAGGAACCTAAATGTCCATCATGGATGAGAGGTTAAATGAAAGGTGGTGTATATACAATGGAATGTCCCAGAGCCTTAAAAAGGAAGGGCATTCTGACACATGCTACAACATGAATGAACCTTGAGGAATTTGTTAAATAAAATCAGCCAGTCACAAGAGGACAGATACTGTATGATTCTACGTATATGAGTAGGCAGATTTATAGAGATAGAAATTAGAATGTGGTAGCCAGGATTGGGGGTGTGG